TCCTCTCTGGCTTTGGGGAAGGTGGATGAGAGCCAACGTGTAGAAATGGGAGGCTATCCTGAAGCTAGCACTGGACTGGCTTGCAGTAAAGAGGAAATGCAAGAGGAATAGAGACGATTGGATCATTTACTTAAGGTTGCACCATGGGATGAAACACGGAACTCTTAGAAAGTGGTAGGATATAGGGAGAGGAAAGGGAACAAATGGTCAGGAACTGACAGTGTAATAAAGAGGGTTAATGTGCTGAAATGAAATTGAGACTGGTAAGCCACCATTAATATTTTGGTGTCTTTCCTTCTGATTGTTTTCCCTATGTTTTTATACCATTTGGTCTTTATAGTATATTCAATTTTATATTCTGCATTTGTCACTTAACATTGCAACACAGGCATTGCCACTTCTTACAAATTCTTCATCAACATCAGTTTTTTTTTTTTTTAATTTGGGCAAGAGAACAAAAGAGAATATAAAGATAATACACAGTGCAACAAATAATGCTTAGCCTACATTTATTTCTGAGTCGATGCCATTTAATTTAATTTTTTATTGAGGTACAATTGATATAACATTATATTAGTTTTTGGTGTTTAATATAATGATTAGATACTTGTATATTTGCAAAATTATCACCACAATATGTCTAGTTAACATCTGTTACCATATATAGTTATAGGACTTTTAGATCTACTTTCTTAGGAACTTTCAAATATACAATACAGTATTATCAACTATAGTCTCCATGCTGTATATTGCATTCCATGATATTTATTTTATAACTGGAAGTTTGCACCTTTTGACTTCTTTGCACATTTGCCACCCTTGCCACTCCCTGCTTCTGGCAACCTTGAATTTATTCTCTGTATCTATAAGTTTGTTTTGTTTTTGTTTTAGGTTCCACATTGAAATGAAATTATATGGTATTTGTCTTTCTCTGGCTTATTGCACTTACTATAATGCCCTCAAGGCCTATCCATGGTGTTGCAAATGATGACACTTTATTCTTTTTTTATGGCTGAATAATATTCCATTATATATGCATATATCCCACAATTTCTTTACCCATTCATGTATCAATGGACTGTTAATTTATTTCCATATCTTGGTTACTGTAATAATGCTGCAATGAACATGGGGGAGCGGTGCATGTTCTGCAAGTTAGTGTTTTTGTTTTCTTTGGATAAACACCCAAAATGGAATTGCAGGATTATATGTTAGTTCTATTTTTAATTTTTTGAGGAACATCCATGCTGTTTTTCATAGTGGCTGCACCAATTTACATTCCCACCAACAGTGCACAAGTATTCCTTTTCCTTCACATCCTGGCCAACACATGTTCTTTCTTGTCTTTTTGATAATAGTCATTCTAACAGGTGTGTTCTGGTATCTCATTGTGGTTTTAATATGTATTTCCTGTATGAATAGTGATGTTGAGCATATTTTCATGTAGTTGTTGGCCATCTGTATGTCTTCTTTGGAAAAATGTCTATTTAGATCCTCAACATTGTTTTTAGTGACTGCTTAAAATTGAATATTTTGTTAGATCATTATTTAATTATTTCTCTTCTGATGGGCATTTAAGCTATTTTCAATGTTTATTAAAATAACTGCAATGATTGTCTCTTTGCAAAACTTTCTGTGCACTTCAGATGTCCTTAGGATCTATTCCCCAGATTGGAACTGCAGGGTCAGAGAATATGGATGTTTTTAATCTTAATATTTTCATTCTTAATTTGCCCTGAAATTCTTTCAGATGAACATCCTTTTTCCATTAACCCATAGTCTAAAAAACACTCACAATTGAAGGCATCTTAGTATTTTACCTGACCTGTAATCATTTAGCAGTAAAACCTGAGTAGAACTGATGTAAGGTGATTTACAGATTTTATTTTTTCAACATAGTGTGAATATTCAATGTTTTGCATAAATACTAATGAATTTGATTATGGGGTACTACTTCAGAACCCACTCAGAGACTTAGGTAATTATGTAGTATTTTTACTATACTTCCATTTGAAAATCCCAAAACATCTTCCTTACAAAATGTATCCAGCCATAAGGGTTTCAAATAAGGATTGTGAACCTGTACTAGTAATATTACAAGAATGCTCTGGATATGTTAATTAAAAAATTCTTTGTTGAAATTTTTACATTGGTGTTATGGACTGAATTTTGCCCCCTAATAAATTCATGTTGAAGTCCTAATCCCCAGTACCTCGGAATTGACTGTATTTGCAGATAGAGTCTTCAAAGGGGTAATTAAAGTAAAATGAGGTCATTAGAGTAGGCCGTAATGCAATATGACTGGTGTTTTTAAGACAAGATATTAGGACACCTACACACAGAGGGAAGACCATATAAAGGCACAGAGAGAAGGCAGCTAAGGAGAAAGCCCTCAGAAGAAACCAGGCCTGCGGATAACCTTGATCTCTGGATATCTAGCCTCTAGAATTATAAAATAAATTTCTGTTGTTAGGCCACTCTGTGGTATTTTGTTTTGGCACCCTAGAAACTAATACAATGGTAACATACAAATTTCATAACCAACAAAATTAATAAAGTATATCCATTTTGCAAAAGCAAAACGCCAACCAACTAAACTAACCCTACCCCCAAAATCAAGTTTTTAAAATATGATTGGTTTTATAATTGTTGCCATCACTTTTGCAAGTAGACCACACTTCTAGATAGTCTCCTTGAATGTCAAGCCAGTTGAGGAATTTAAAAACATCACAGTGTCTTAGGCCTGTAAAGGACCTTAGTTGATACACTAGTTTTAATTTATTTACAAATGGGAAAAATAAGAAGTGACTAACCTAAGTTTACCCATTGCACTACTGAGAGATTGAAGACTAGGCCTCAGATCTTCTCTTGCATGCTTTTTTTTCTCATGCCATAAGTTTATTTACAAACATCTCTAGTATGTTGTGTTCAACAGTTTGATTCATTTTTCAAAGAGACTGCACCTCTTAAAATGTTCCTTTTCATATGTTTCATGGATTAAGTAAGACATTCTTATTTTTTAAGTAGTTGGTGTCTTACTATAAAGAAGGGTGTAGCAAATCCATATCCAAAGTATAAAGTTGTCATAGGTGGTAACTGACACTTGTTTTCCACTGAAAATGGCAAATTCTTCCCTGGACCCTCCTCATACTAGCTCCTATGGAACACAACATTTTGCTGTTGTAGGCCCAGAGAAAGGTTCAGAAACTGAAAGTGGAAGAAATGGTGGTATCACACTAAGTCCCTTTTTCACGATCTTGTTCCTCTTTGTGTAAGTTCTCTTGTATGCTTTCCTCAATCATATTCCTCATGGTTTCTGTGCTTCTGAATCAAGGTCTGAGTCTCAACAAGTGACACTTGCAAGAAGTACAGATGGTGCCATGAGTTCAGAGATCTCTGTAATTGGGGTGATATGGTTAATCAGAAAGCAAGGTTGGTGAAAGTCTAATCTGAGCTCTAATCCTGGCCTGTTCATTAAAGAGGAACCACTTAACCAGGGTTCTAAATTCCTTGTCTTTCAAATGAAGGGATAGGCTAGTTTACGAGAGTATTTGCATAGTACTTGGAGTCCTTTAAAATAAGCATTTGTGTAGAGATTTACAAAGTGCCTGGAATAGAGTGCTAAAAAAGTTAGTTATTTTATTATTAATCTCACCACCTCATAAATATAGATGCCATTTTGCAGATGAAGAAGCTAAGAAGTCCTGAAATTAAGCACACAGTTTCTGAGGTCCATTAGCGAAAAAACGGGGAAATAGGCTGAGAACCCAGGACTTCCTGTTTCCTTCATAGTACATTAAAACCAACTTAGGAAGTTAAATTATTATTTTACAGTAATTCATATTTGCTGTGAATCTAGAAAGATAGGTAGAAACAGTGCCGTCAAAGAGAAGGGGCAAGTATTTTATGCAAAAGTAAGCCATTTTTTTGAAGGAAGGTTTTGGGAGTGTGATGAATGAATATCATCTGCATTCTTTGTCAGGAGGTAGCTTTTCTGATGGGGAATGAGGTGGGGAGTTAGAAAGGTGTCGAAGTCCTTAATGCCAGGCAAAGGAGTCGGAGAGCCTAAGCAGAATCCTTGATCAGTGTGGCCGCACATGTTAACCAGCATTCTATTACTAATCTGGTTGTGGATTGTTGAATAGACTGGGGCGTTGGGGCTGGAGCTTCAGGGACCAGTTGTTGCTAGAGTGTACTGTACGAAGACATTCAGTATGTTGAGGGAATTAAAGAGACCTGGGAGAATGGTGTTCTGTCTTAACTGACAAATTCCGTTTATGTACATGTCAACCCGTTATTTTAAAAGGGGGTTTATGAGTACTTTAAAACAATTTTTTTAAAAGCATCTACTGCAGAGGCCTGGGAAACCAAAGTAACGCATTTAGAATTAAAACCAGGGTTAGATACCTGGCGGTTATCTTCTAATTATGTAATATGGAGGAAGTCAAGGAAGTCACCTAACCTCTTTTGAGCCTCGGTTTCATTTCCTCTAAATTAAGGGCGACAAATCCCTACTTGGTAAGGCATTTGTGTGCGTAAAACCAGACTGTATTTTAAGGCCCCTAGATATGGCCCTCAGTGTTGGTTGCCGTCTTCCCCCGGTATTCTTCAGGCTGGGTCTGAGTGGCCAAGGGCGGCTGAGGTCAGAAAAGTGGTTCTACCTGGAGACCTCACCCGGAGACTCTGGTCTCGAGCTGGGCTGACCTCTAAACGCCCGCCCCACCTCGGACCAAGCTTCCCGCGGGATGGCTGAGTATCCCCCGCCACTGGGCCGGACAGACAGGGGGACTCTGGAGTGCACGGCACTTTCAGCTTGCCAGGGATGTCGACGGGAGGCGAGGGGGAGCGAACGGAGAAACGACGGCTGCGCCGGAGCCTGCAGCGTCACCTCCACGCTGCCCGCCCGGGAACTCGCTGCGGGTGTTGGGCCGCGCTGGCTGCGTTTGAAGTCTCCGGCGCGGCCGCTGGTTGGCGGACGCGGGTCACGTGTGCCCAGACAGGAGTTTCCCCGACAGCTGGAGGCTGCGTGGGATCCGGCGGCTGCTCCGAGCTCGGTGGTGCGGCCTTCCCCGCCCCCTCTTTCCCTCCTCCCCTGCCCGCTTCCGCCCGGCTTATTATCCTCCTTATTGACAAACAGAGCAGCCGCGGCGGCGACTCTCAACGTGCATCTGTAGCCAAGCCATGGGAGACAAGAAGAGCCCCACCAGGTAACAGCACCCAGCCCGTGGGCCCGGACTGTGCGGGCGGCAGGGCCCTCACGCTGGACTTCGGGCAGCCGCCTGGGCAACGGGGCAAGAACGAGGGCGGCGCCGCTGCTCCGCGTGAGGGGCCGGCGCCGGCTGCCCTACAATGGAGCCGCGATGGCGGCGGCCGGAGCAGTAGCCCAGGGTGTCAGAGCGTCGGCAGTGGCGGCAGCATTAGCGGCGACCGCTGCCACTCTCTTGCCCTCCTTCCTGACTCCCCTCCCCCTCTGAGCCAGAGCGCGGTGTGCTGAGGGCCCGTGGGGCGGGGGTCGCGGAATTGGGGCAGGGGGCGGGGCGGGGGTGGCCGCGGGGCCCGGGAGCCGGCACGGCCTGCTGGTGACCCCGCGCGACGTCGTGTCCGGATTGTGTCTTGCAGGCCGAAGCGGCAGCCGAAGCCGTCCTCGGATGAGGGTTACTGGGACTGTAGCGTCTGCACCTTCCGGAACAGCGCCGAGGCCTTCAAGTGCATGATGTGCGATGTGCGGAAGGGCACCTCCACCCGGTGAGTCCAGAGCCTGCCTGGCGCACCGCCGGCCGCCGGGTCGCGGCCAGAAGAGGCCCCTGCGGCTGCCGCCCGCTCCCGTGACACTCGCAGACCTGGAGGGGAGGAGGCCAGACTGAGCTGGTGGCCGCAATAGGAATTGGGTCAGATTGATCACAACGCAAGTGATGGTTTGCGGTGAGGGGTAATTGAAGAGAGTGTAACGTTTTTTGCTGCCAAGAGAGAATAAATTATTTAAGGGAGGCATTAGCTACTGCGATTTAATTCGTGTCGCTGGGTGAAATGCTCCCCCCCCGCCCCCATTCCGGGTATAATAATGTTGGCTGCTTTGTTGCGTTAGTGTGTAGGAATCAGAGAAACCCTGAAGACCTCTTTAGGAGCAAAAGATGTAATTTAATTTCGTTCCTCAAAAAAAAAAAAAAAAAAAGTGTCAGATTATATAACGCACAATGGATTTAACTTTCTTTTTTTAATATAGACGTCTGGAAGGGCCAGATGAAGGTTTTGTTTAGTGTTCGTATTCCAATTCGCTAATAATTTATAAACAGATAGTTGGAGGTGAGCCTAGGCACGGATATATTTTTACTGAAAGTATCTGAATATCTTTAGATTAATCAAATGGCAGTCTATTAGACTATACAAATAAGATTAAATGATCTTTGCCTATTTTCAGTCTTTATCTTATTGTAAGCTCACAATAACTCAGTCTTTTAAGAAACACTTACGTTAATTAAGAGGCTAAAGAAAATCATCCAGGGAATTCCAAGTCAGTGATATTTGTGATATGCCAGTGCTTAGTGACAGTTTCTTTGCCTTTATAGGAAAGTAGGCTTTAAATTAATTCATTATAATCCTGTTATTTATAGCCTGATATTTAGATAACGTGTTTTGATATTACAAAGTCTGTTACAAACTAAATTATCACAAGAATATAAGTGTACTAATTTGATATACTGTTTAAAAAAAACGCTGACATGGTATTGACATTAGATTTATAGTCAGTAAAATTAGATTTCTAAAAATGAGATATCCAGGGTTTTAAACACCATTTAGAGCATTATATTAAAGTTTTAAATGTAGATTCAGAAATGGTTGGCAGTAATTTAAATTTTAAGATTTGGTTCGTGAAGCTAGCTGCTTTTGACATATGTCTTTCTGTAAATCATAATATGCTTTTTGCATAATTCCCATTTACATTGGGTGAAATATGAGCATTTTCATGATATCCTTTAAAAAGCAAACTTTCAAACATCTACAGAATTCGAGGGAATGTAACACAACCAGTCTAACAAAAAATGTACCTATTTGCTAAAGAATGTGGTTAACTATTTTTGGACCCGTGATTTAAGTATTTTTGAAAAGCAGAATATCTTTATGTCTGTATAAGGTTGGATTTGGTTTAGATTATATTTATATATCTACATTAGTACCTTGTACTTTTTAAAATGCTCAATAAGAAATTTTCAGAAAATACGGTTTTTGGAGGCAGGAACTTTAAAGTGGAGACAGTTATAATCTTAATCTCTGGTACAATATTGTTGCTTTTTGTTGTTCCCTCTATTTTCTTGTAGCCATTAGAAAAATACTGAAACTAGAAGAGCCTATATGTTTATTTGCAGGGACAGCAAGGAAGGGGGGAAGCTGGTGGCCTACTCCACAGCCAGTCTTGGGGTTAGAGGAACCCTGAGAAATAGAGTAGGTGGTGACAGCTCAGAAGAAAAGAAACAGGCCGACTACCTGGCACCTGGAAGAAGAAGGAATATAGTGCACAGGGGAGTTGGCCCAGGACAGAGAAGTGGGCCTAGTTTAAAAGAGGCTTGAGGCCCACATGGGGGCCCCTGACATTTTTTTCCAGTGCATCTGAGCTCTTGTAGATCCAATTTTTAGTGGATTACTTGAGGAGGACTCAGAGAAGCATTGTCATTTGGATTGAAACTGAAGAGGCTCTGGGCAACTCACCAGAAGTCTAAGGGACACTCTGTTCCTAAAAGTAAGTGTTCTACACTACAACCCTCTCAGCTTCTTCCTTCCTCTCTCTGAATTGTCTCTTCTCTCTCGATTTTGGCCGTAAGTTAAACCTAAGAGCTCTCATTTCTCTGTCTGTTATTTTCCTACCGCTGTTTCTGAAAATCGGAGTGGAATCCATGTTTGGATAGAACAATGGAGCAGGGCTTTGTTATAGAGAGGATATTGATTGCACCACAAAATATTGCCCTCTCTGATAATGTTAGAAAACAGGATAAAAGGCCTGCAGAGCACTATTGAGAAGCGAAAGTTTCAGTAGTTGAAAGAAATAATTCTCTACAACTGACATGTTAATTAGCAGTTAAGGCAATTTCAAGGATAAGGTTGAGGATTATCAAAGCTGGAAAGCTGCAGAGCAGGATGCAGATTGCTAATGCCTTGTTTGTGACAGAAGGACTTGAATTCCTTGGGTCATACTGACCTTTGAACTGATTCTGACTCAGTGCCAAATGGGAGGCCAAGTCTAAGCCATCCCAGACATTTGAAAAATCTTTTCTTCCTAAACCTCCAGAGAAGATGGAGTTTATGGTCTCCCTGTAAAGTCTTCACTGACATTTTTTTTTCCTTTAAAGAATATCTAGTTCAAATCCTTTGTATTGCAACAGAACACCATTTCTTTTGGCTATATGTTTGGTCGGTCATGTTTTTCTGCAGAATAACTATGGAATGAAATGAGGTTATATTTTCATAGCAGTATTTTAAAATAAAATGTGATTTGATGTTTTAATTCCTAAATTGATCAATTATATTCTTTAAACAGTTTCTACAGTTGAATTTTAGTTTGGTACTTGCTGGTCTCAATTAGTTTAGATTTTATTAATCTCTTTTTTAAATCCAGAATTGAAATAACCACATAATTAAAGTACCTCAGGTTTTCTACATTTTGGTTTTGTGAATAAAAAAAATGATAAATGTCAAAATGACAGGACAAAATTAAAAAAAAAAACTACAGAGATAAATTTGTTATTAAAGGTACTACATAGTCTCCTTAGTTCTTAAAAGGCAGTAAGTGTCTCAAATATTAACGCAAGATACTTGAAGAAATTAAGAATCATCCTGATTCGTCACAGAAAATGAAATGTTTAGTATAGTGTGTGTGTGAGGACAGTGCAGTCAATGTTTGTTGATTGAATTAGCTTAGTATCTTATTGTCACTTTTTCATATAGGAATAGAAATTACTGCTTACTTCAGATGGCAGACATTAAAAAATGATAATGATGAACTGTGATCTAAATGAGGAACTATGTAACACCTAGTTCATAGCAAGCTTTCTAGTGGAATTTCAAGTATAATTGGTAGTGTATATATTCTCAGGTAAATTGAAGTGCTTCCTTTAGATTCCTCAGATGTTGTTTCAGAGAATGATGAAAAAGATTTCACATAGTAGAAAGAGCACTATGTGTTGTACTAGGAGTCTGGCGACCATGGTTCTTACTCTTTTTAGCCACTTCAATACCTAGCATTCAGCAATGTTTATTGAATGTCTTATTTTACATAATGGCTGAGCTAGGTATTGGGCATACATTGGTGAGCAAAATAGATGTTTTTTGGTTTCTCCTGTAAAATTTTATGGTTTTGTCTAATCAGAAACACTTTGAATTATACCAAATTCTGTACATTAGGTAGTATTAGTAATTCTTTCTTTTTTTGTTAGCTGAAGAGGTACAATTGACTCATTTAAAGAAAAAATGTTTCTAACTGAACAGAGTGTTATGGTTAGGATTTTATTGTTGGTAAATGGAATGAATTATTTCAGCTTCTATAAAATGGAAATAAATTGTATAAAATTCACATTTTGGAGAAATTTTAAAGAAACCAATTATCTGATAAAACTTATTTCAGTATCATCGTTGCATTTTCATACCTGCTTCCTATCTTCTAATCTGAAGTTTGGCACAGATTCTTCTAGACTTCTGGTGTGGGAATGGGAAAAAAAAATTGAGGACCATCTAAGTCAGTCCATTTTTCAGATATGCAGAGTTCCTGAGCATTCCTTACCTGTCTGAGGAGCCTTTCCAGCTACCACACAGTTGTTCAGAGACTCCTTATTCTAGGAGGTTGGTTGGTTTGTTTGTTTTCCTCCATGTATCTTGGATTAGAGTAGTTAAATGGGTTCAGTGTTTACAGAGACATTTTGAAAATGATTGTGTTTGGATAGTCTAGAGTAGTGGTTTTCAAAGTGTGATCTGAGGAACCCTGGAGTTCCCTTTTATAATCATTTTAAGAAGCCAGTGAGGGTCAAACTATTTTCATAATAATACTAAGATATTTATTTATTTATTTATTTATTTATTTGTGCCTTTTTCACTCTGTTGACACTTGCGGTGGTGGTGCAGAGGCAAAGATGGGTACAACTGCTGGCCTGTTAGGATGACTCCAAGCAGTGGTACCAAATTGGTACAATCATCATAATCTTTACTACCATGCACATGCAGTAAAAATAACGTCAGTTTCACTTAAGAATACCTCTGATGAAGCAAAGTTACTAGTTTTATAAAGTCTGTCTTTTAAAATATTTTATTATCTAGGAAGTACATGTAAAGCTCTTTTGCTTCATACAAAAAATAGAGTGGTTGATTCAAGGGAAAGGATTTGTGTAGTTGTGTTAGTTGCAAGCAAAACTAGCTGCTTTTTTTTTAAAGGAACATTATTTTTACTTGAAAGATGCCTGGCAAACTGTGGTTGTTCAGACTTGGATATTTAGTAGATATTTTCTCACAAATGAAGACAATGAGTCTGTCACTTTAAGGAAAACAGTTGATAGTATTTGTTTCCAACGATAAATATTGAGCTTTCAAGTGAAAATTAGAGTTTTTGAAAACTTGTAATCACTACAATGAGTTTAAGAACTTCCCAATACTTTAAAGCTTGTGTTGTAATGTCAATGAATGTAATTTCTGATACTTTATCATGAAATTTGTCAATATTTGGAAGATCTCTGTAACTCAGTGACCCAATATTTCCAATAACTAAT